TATTAATTAATTCGCTGTTGCAAATCTTATACTTATTTTTTAATAAAATTTTAAAATTATTAAAATTTTTTAATTTCAAAATAGTAAAAAAAACGCTGCTATTTTATAATATTTTTCAAACTGACAAAAATTTATTGCTTCAAAGAATTAATGAATTAATTAATTGAAATTGCTGATTTTAAAAGTAAAGTAAGGATTTAGACAGATCTAACTTTCACTTTCACTTCATGATAGCATTCTAAAAACAGCGCTAAATCAGATGTGCAAAATAATAGCTACTGCACTCAAATTACTGTTACATGTAGAATAGGAATTTGTATTGTTATCAGATGGCAAAAAAACAGTGGTGGATATCTGCAATAATTTTGATTACTAAATTAAAAGTTTTAAAATTATCTCAAAACAATTTTCATAGAATTATTTTATTTTTTTCGCTAATTTTATCTGTATTAACACATTTCTAGAAGTGTTTCGATGCAGAAAATTGAAATAAAATAAGCAGTAATTTATTAGCAAAGTAAAATAATGCACTGAATAAAGAGAAGAATAGACGTACAAAAGCGTTACAGATTTACTTTTAATTATTGATAAAAGGAAATACAATTAAGTGTAAGAACAAGTTTAGATGTGACGCGTGAAATCTAAAGTACACGGAAGTAGAATTAAATTTAGTCAAAACTTAAGAGTACAGTGTACCATTGAAAAAAGACAGTTAATGGTGTAAATCAAAGTGCATCTAGCATACAAGCGTAAGTGAGATGATAAAATACAAATTAAAAAACGAGGAAGGTCAAGGTTCACAGTGGATATAAAATATTAAATATCATCTTGGAATAGAATATACTGAAGTAGGCCAGCCATATTATGCGAAGTAAATAATAAAAATTATGCTATTCATTGTTGAAGAAATTTTTTCTACAAGAATTGAGGGCTAAAATAATTGTACTGAATACATTTCACGAAATATATTTTAAATGTAAACAATTTGTTACCATAATTTTGCAAATTACCTCTAATAAAACACATAATAATCAATACTGATAATATCAATATTGATAAGGAGATCGTTTTTAATGATAACTTTAACTTTAACAGTGATGACAGTGAAAACAATAACAAAGGTCATCATTGCATAAATTATAACGCTTAATTAAACTTGAAAAATTTCTGATCAATTAAATTTTATTATGAATGATTATTCGAATTACAAATAACAAGTACATGACACGAATTGGTAAATTATTAAAACTTTATCAGTTCTGGTACTTTAATTAAAAAATAATTAAGCACTCAGTAATTGCAAAAACTAATTATTAATCTGAAATTTATGCAAATAACTTTGAATGCTTCTGAGATGAATTTAAGTTTAAAAGCTAACCTAAAAAAAAAAAAGTTAAGTCAAAAAAAATTTTGTGCCGAACAAAAATTTCAAAAAAAAGTCACAAAACTAAAATTTTTTTAGTTGACGTTTAACTGTCAATAATAACACCGAAAATATTATATATTATTAATGTTATGATAGTGTGAAAATGATAATTTTATGAGCAAATTTTTTAACGTCAACCATAAAAAATTAATAAAAATGATATAATTAATTAATTAATTAATTAATTGAAAGCGTTTGTTTAAAATTAATTAATTGTTTGTTTGAAACAGAGTAAAACAACCAAATGTTACATCATGAAGGAGTTAATAAAAAGACATTATTTTGCAGCAAATACTTCTATAATAAAAAAATAAACTTTTTAGTATATTTTCCGATTTTTTTTCATTTTCGAATATTTTCAATTCGTTTTACAGTTGTATTTGTTGGCACTAAAATCATTTAAACTTCAAATAACTCTTTGGATTTAAACAAACAAATTATTAATGTTCGACTTGCATAAATTTAAATGAATGATATCAGTTGCTAAGTACTGATTTAAGCAAAAAAGATTTATTATAGAATGTTTATACTAAACCTTAATTTTGAAATTATTATAAATCATTCTCCATGCTAAATACTAGAGTAATCAAATAATAATTCAATATTTAAAATCAAAAAAATTTATAGTAGAAGCATTTCTTTGATTTAAAAATTATTCATTAATTATAGTTATCATTGAATAGACTATCATACAGCAATAATCACAATTACTGAATAGCATTTTTGATTACAAATAGTAAAATGAAAAGTATAAAAATAGCTAAAATTTTTTTTAATTTAACTTTATTCATTTATTCATCTCTTCTACATATCTAACAATTCGCTAATATAAAAATGTAATTAATCAAAAAGTTTTCAATAAAAATTTATAGCCGAAAAATTAATTTGGAATAATTTTGTTAAATTTAAAAGAATTTTATTTTATATATTTGTTTAAAAACAGGTCGATAAAAGGAATTAAGCTAATTTTCACTTCACGTCTACTTGACGATCATTTTTTGAATGATCGAAACAATCATACTTTACAAAGTTTTTAT